TTTTTCAAAATCTTGATTTGTTCATTTTTAGTTAGAGTCTTATTAACAATATTAACAAGATCATTAGCATTCAGATGTTCATCTATCTTCACAATTCCATATGGGTATCTATTATCAGTAACCTTATCCATGTCAGAAGTAGTTATTTCACAGTCATAAGAAGTGGCATCTACTTTCTATCTTTCGAAAGATAAAAATGGTAGAAGCTTCCTATGTTGTTATTTTCTTATATCAAATGAATGATGCAATCCAGTCAATTTCCTATATAATCTTTTTGTTGTGTTACAATATATGTTTCATTATTTTAACAAAACTAAGACCATCTCTATCACACATGATATTTGTGATTTGTAATTCTAGATAATCTATTTTAGCTCTACTCGCCTCCAACATCCTTTGAGTTTCTAGTAACTGAGTACTAGATTTCTTAGCATCATTGATAGAAGAAATAACTAGATTATTAACATAAGTAATAGCATCATCAAATTCAGTTAACATAGAGGTATAAGAACTTGAAGGAATATTAAAGGATTGAAGTAGAGAACATACCTTCAATATCATTAGCGCTTTGCCTGCTGATGTCGAAACAAAGTAGCAGCCAATAATCTTCTCTTCTTCATCCTCCTTATACCCCGCAAACATGTCTCCATGCATTGGATTTCTCATTTCTTCGTTATCCGAGCCCAAAGACCATACTTGGTATGTTCCATCATCTTCATCCTCTCCTCTTGCTACCAATGACAATCCCTTAAACCTTGCTCTTACTTCTTCTAACCTCTCTGTGTAATATGCTTCATCGTTAACCCTTTTCTTATTCTCTTCTTTCTTCCTTAACATGCAGCCAGTAGCCAAGTAATTAGCTCCATTGCAATAGTGACAATCCACTCCCGGATCACCCTTAAGCTTTTTCTCTTGTATCGGTTCCTCTCCTTTCACTTCTTTCTTGTCAAATTTCTTCTCTTCACTCACTTTCCCAGCAAAACTTCCTTTTACTTTCCCATTTTTTGACTTCACATTGAAAGGCTTTTTGTAAAACTTCTTTACTCTATTGTTAGACTAAAAAAAATATAGCTTCATCTTCCCAATACATTCGACACAAGTGCTAATGGACCACCCAGATTGATAATAAACTCTTTAGCTATCTCATTCACTTCGCCTTCGTGAGGTTTAAGCACATTGTAAAGATCGTTTAGAGAATAAAAATCAAAGCTCTGTTGTGTCTTTACCATCAAACTCACATTCCTATGGTCCTTTCGAATCCCCATTATAAAAGTGAGATTGTATTCCATAGAGGTCCTTGTGATGCCATACTTAGTGCACTTGTAGATTCACTCATTCAGACGATCATAGAAAAATTCAAGCGATTCTCCATCTTTTGCTTGAACTCTCTTAATTCAATCAGACACTGCTTGACTGAAGTGATTTTGGTCTTCTCGCGGCCCTGGCATTTTTCCTTTAGCGTATTCTAGATTTGTTTTGAGGTTTTGCAGCTATGAACATAATTGTACACTACATGAAGAAGGGCTCTACGGAGTTCTCTCATACACCTTTTCTCATTTTTCAGTAGCCTTGCAGTTTGATCATTGAGATTTACATTAGTTAAAGAAGTTCCAACATTTTGAACAGAAGGAGGAGGATGAACATCATCAGTAATGCACTTCCACAACTCTTCATCAATTCTGTTCAAGTAATCCTCAATATGATCCGCCAACTGATCATAGTATTCCAGAATTAGCATAGGAATCTTAGTTGAAGATTCTATCAGATGAGAGAAAGAAGTCATGGTATTCATATTGAAGTTCGCCTTGGATGTACGGACAAAATTAAAATCTTGAGAAATTTGAAGATAACTAGATGAATCAACCAGAAAATGAATCACAAACACTCGATTAGAAAACTGAAATGCATAATTAAATCAAAACTGAAGATCTATTGAGATTTTCATAATCAAAAGTGCGGAAAATTTTGAATCTAGAACAAGATTAAAAAATCTTTTGAAACAAATGAAAATCCGATCAAAACAGTATGATTCCTGCTCTGATACCAATAAGAGTTATGATTGAATCGAGTAATGTAAAGAAATCGGAGTATGGATTGACTGAGAACACAAAATCTAAATAATATCTGGTGGGCTTGTTGTATTGCTTTACCAGTTGAATACAGAGGAAAAGAGAAAATGATTGCAATTCAGAGAATAATTCTTAACCTCTAAAGTATCCTTCCCATATTTATAGGGAAAACTAAAAGCACAAAAAATATAAGGGACTAATTACACTAAGCTTCGAAACATAAAATGCCATTGTAATAATATTACAAACTAGCTTCGACATTACAGACAACTAGATACATTCGACACCAATAACATTCGAATCTCTACAGCCTTAGATTAAGAATAAGACTCTTAAAGAATTCTTAGTTAATATTAGGTCGGATATCGATTAGGTCTCATGAATGGGGTAGGGTGTGAGATTAGTGCAGAGTGTTTATCCTCTTTCTTGAATGACCAGAAATGGTGGGTCCATATCAGACAACTGGCAAGTATGTCTGGGTTATCCACCAGAGTAGATGACAACACTTGACTATTCTAGGCGGTTTAGTAAATTATGTTTCAAGAATTGAATTATAAAGCATGGACGTAGATAAAATAGGATGTCATAGTTATCAAATCTATGAGTGGTTGTCTTATATGACTAACACTGGCCAAGGACACCCCTAGCTGTGTAGTCAGACAGTTGCTCAAACGATTCATCAGGTTGGGTGATTCCTCCAGATAATCAATTCTTTAGGATATGTGAGGATCGATTGGGTTGGGTAGTTGGTCTTAGGTCAAGATTTCATATATATATATATATATATATATATATATATATATATATATATATATATATATATATATATATATATATATATATATATATATATATATATATATATATATATATATATGTATATATTATTTTGACATCATCGGTTGCAGGAACAATATTATTTAATATCATTAAATTGTTATGCGCTTGAAAACCCTATGTATCTCACCATGTTTTTCCAAACCTGGCCCACTCATTTTTTTGCATCACGGGTAGTGGAGCCAATGTTATAGTAGTCTAGTTAGAATGTTGAGTGAAATAAAAAGATGTGTCTGTAATCTATAGTTTATGGACGTTTTATATTTTACGCTGTAACTTACCTTTGGATATAAACAAATGACATCCTCAATGTTTTAACTTTTGTTCTCTTAAAAATGTTTTATTTAACTAGGAGTTTTCGCATCTCAATTTATAAAGCATAAGGAAAAAATTTTAATTCGTTCTAAAAAATAGAGGATGTCACACACTCCCCTACTCGGCCACGTCACTCACAATTTACTCAAATTCGGTGTCAGGTGCGCGGCGTGAAGAGACACAAACCTCGACGCATGAAAAGATTTTGTAAAAGTCATAACTTCTTCGTGCGAGCTCCGATCTAAACCCTCTTTATATCTATATGATGATCTCAGTGGGTACTACAAGTCTCCTTTTGGTTGCTTTAACTAGTTTTGACTTTCATTCTCTTTCATACGGATCCCGTTTTTGGACTTTGTCTTAAATTTTATATCTTGAGGAGCACTACGAAACACCTTTTTGCAATTTTAGTCAAAACTCAATCAATTTCTAAGTACTGTTTTGACGTAACTAATTTTAATTATGCGATTGATTTCTATCACTATAAAAATCCATAACTCTTTTCTTTGGAGTCGGATTTTCACAAATCTTATATCAATGAGATTTTGTCAACAATTACTACCAAAGTATGTAACCAGCTTGGAAAATGGTACAAATTTTTGGACGCTAATTTTTTAGCCTAATGGACGTTTTAACACATTAATGTAATGACACATTTGATTCTTATTATCTAAAAAATCAAATATTACAATACTAACCTATTACATCTATTTTTCTACTCTTTCTTAATGGTGACCAATGACGGAAACTTCTCGTTTGTCACATCTCATGTTTTGTGACCTTACATGTATCAACTTTTAAAACAGTCTGTTTTGCCTTGAAACCTCCAACCCTCAAGCTTACGATATGAGATACCTTGTAAGGTCTACACACACGTGTTTCCATTAAATATGTCAAAAAAACATCTCTAACTATATTGTTATTGTATTTGAACCCTAGGAGTTATTTACAATGAACTGCATGCTTTCCAAAAGAGTCCGAACATGTCTTGCAGAAGTTTGTTACAAAGAGAAGCCAAAACACAAACATAATCAGAATCTACATCACATATGTCGTCATCTCATAAGATATGGTCTTGCGATACCCAAGATTGGGCCCTTAAGACAACAAAAATATATAAGGTAGTCTCTACTACCGAGTATAAACCCAAACCACTAAACTTAATAGGTAGGCAAGCAATTCGCTAGTATATATAGATGATAGTATTGAAGTTGTAGCTGAAAATTTTGTTTTTAAAAATTTAAATGTAGACCAAGATGATCATGAAAGGTTTGAAAAAGATGGTCTAAAAACATGGTTTATATGACAATTATTCACATCCATGTGATTTTGATGATCGAATGAACATGGTATATATAACTGGTTATGTTCAAAGTGTACCTGCTATTATGCCATTCCAATCACTTTTGTGTTTCCTATATGATGTCGTTATTTGCAATATTTTCCATACATGTTTCAAACTTTTGACGAAGTTACAAACTTCTTTAAATCTACACTTTGCACCATCTACTTTTTATCAGACTTTTTGTTTTGGAATCTAAAAAAAAAATCAATGATGTTTGAAATTTCATTTTGAACATCAAATTGCTTTTAGTCAAATGACTTATTCGAATGAGAAAATAAGTTTTTTAAAAAGTGTTTAGATTAGTTTTTATGGTGGAAAAAAATAATGTGTTATAAATTGTTTTTTTTTAATGTTTGTCTTAGATAATACATATTTTAAGAAATATTTATCTTTTACAAACCAAAAGATTTATATATTTTTTTGAAAGTTAGAAATTCTAAGTTGTTGAAATCTTCTTCTTAAAGGTTAATGAGAAATTATTTTAAATATTATTTTCATATTGCCATTTTTTTATTGATTGAGGTTTCAAAAAAAAATCAATAAATTAATAAGTTGTTTTTAAATGAAATCTAAAATACCATCATGCGTCCCTTGTTGTAATGCTAAAGTACGAAGTTAATCAGGCCCGGTGATGAGGGGGGGCAACCTGTGCACGTGCACAGGGCCCAAGATTTTTAGGGGCCCAATTTTTTTATAATGTATTCAGGAATTAGGAGTCCACACCCTAAGGCAGAGAAGCGATCATTCAAGCGAGGGCAAAGGATCGATTACAGACCAACTCAATAGGTGGTTACACAACATGTTCATGCAGCAACAAGAATGTTTGTTCATGCAGCAACAAGAATGTTGTTAGACATCGGGGTTGGCGTCTGATGGAGAAAGGGAGACGTCACTCAAGTACGCTGAAGAGTTTATGGAGAGAGGATCGACAGTTAACAAAGAAAAAGACTATGCCGAAGTTACCGATTGCTTCAGTCATGCCCTAGAAATCAGGTTATAATTTCGAACTCTATAGACTGTTTTATTTGTTTTATTCAATTAATCATCTGGAAGTCATTTTCCTGTTGTTATATGCAAAAAAAAATGTCGTATTCTGCTTTGTTGAAAGCAAACAAACCATGTTTTGAAGTGTAATTTTGTTTGTCAGAGAATTAAATAGTTATAATTAACAAATTTGGTGTAGTACTATTAACTAAGTATTGTTCATTCAAAAGAATTTGCTTTTGAACTAAAAAAATTTGAGATATATGTTGAATTTTTTAGGTTATATTCTGTTGCAAATGTGATATAACTGAACACGTCTATTTTGAGATAAAGATGATAGGATTTCTTTCTTTTGGGTTGTTGTATTAGAGCTGCACATTATGTCGAGCTTGGGCATGAATGTGTGAGATCATATTATAAATATAGATGTGCACATCTGTACAAGGCTCAAGAGGAATTCAATTAATTAGTCTCAGGTCCTGTTTCCAAGTAAGAATCCACTAAAAAGGATCCACTAAATCTGTTGAAAGTGGTGAAACTACTGTGAATAAAGCAACACTAAAAAAGGTACTTCAAATCTTCATAATTCACATCAATGATGTTTGAAAATGTTTTCAATAATACAAATATGGATGACAATTGCATTTATGTTCATTGTTTTTTTAAGTGGAAAATGAAGATGAAGATGAAGAAGGAAGTGATGGTGAGGATGAAGAAGACAAATCTGGCCTAGATTTAGCTTGGAAAATGCTTGATGTTTCAAGGGCAATTTGGGAAAAAGAACCAGATTACACAATTGAGAAAATAAACATTCTTTCAGTTTTAGCAGAGGTAGCCTTGGAAGGAGGTATGCACATTTCAGATTTATATAATTGAATTTGTTATACGTTAGGGCCTAAGGGCCTTTTTTTCCGACTCGTCCCGGGCATTTGAAACCTCAGAACCGGCCCTGAAGTTAATCAAATGAAACAAAATATACATACTCAACTTAATCTTAAATAAAATATGTTTTAGATCGTGTTAAATATAAAATAATTTTTACCGATCCTATCACAGACTTTACAAAATTTAAAATATCAAAATTTCATAGGCCAAAACTATGTCATTCTTATAAAATAATTATGTTATAAAAAGAATTATGGTTCTTTAAAATAATTTTTATTCTAAACTTATGAACATATTTGCAAACTAAACTTTAAACAACAAAATATTTCTTCTAGTTTCATGCCAACCATATGCACGAGCTTTAGAATAAGAAAATATCAAAGAGGTGATGTCTATCTAATCAAATTGCAAATTGGTTTTTAGAAATCCCTATGGTTTTTAGAAATTCGATTTTACTTTACTTTTAATTTTTGTTTTATTTTGAGTGTTAAGCGAAATAATTATAAAAGATGAGACATATGGATGACAAAGATAATGGCAAAATAGTCATATTTTAATTTTTAACTTAACTCTAAAACAACATTAGTATCAAAACCGAACTTTGCACCGCAAACAAAGTTTACTGAAACAAATGAAACATATGGAATAAATCAATAACTTTTGACATTCACAAGACAATAACTTTTTCCAATAATAACAAATTAACAATACTATAACCAAAAAAATGTAAACTTATAATCCAAAGTTAAAAAAATAGCGATAATAGTATACTACAAGGACCATTTGTGTATATCACTCCCTATATAATAACCAGTAACGAGAAACCAAAATGAACTAACACGGTTCCCTGAATCATCTCTCTGGTTCTTATCAATCACGTAACACAATCCTCTAAATCATCATCAGAAATTCAGAATGAAGGCATGGCAGTATGATGAATACGGCAGTGTTGATGTACTGAAGTTGGCTACCGATGTAGCGATTCCTGAAATCAACGATGATCAGGTGTTGCTTAAGGTCGTTGCTGCTGCTCTGAACCCTGTCGATTACAAAAGGAGACATGGATACTTTAAGGCTACCGATTCTCCTCTTCCGGTAAGCTTTCCGGCGATAGTTTTCTGTTTCAATCGTTCGTTTTTGCTTTTTTGTGAGTTTTCCGTCGATCGTGGTTGAATTTCGGGATTGAAGTTTGTTTGCTGTGTAGAAATCAACATTCTCTCTTCTTCAATTCCAAAATTGCATCTCATTAGACGAGTTAATTTTGAATCGATTTTTGATTTTGGTAACAGATTGTTCCAGGATACGACGTCGCAGGGGTAGTTGTGAAGGTTGGAAGTGAGGTAAAAGGACTGAAAGAAGGAGATGAAGTGTATGGAGATGTAAACGAAAAAGCTCTTGATGGACCTAAACAGTTTGGAACTTTAGCTGAATACGTTGCTGTTGAAGAGAGATTGTTGGCTTTGAAACCTAAAAACATGGATTTTGTTGAAGCTGCTGCTCTTCCTCTTGCAATTGAAACTGCATATGAAGGTCTAGAAAGGGCCGATTTCAAAGAAGGTCAATCGATCCTTGTTCTCAATGGTGCTGGTGGTGTTGGATCCTTCGTAATTCAGGTATGTCTCGTAAAATTACACATTTTTTCATCAATTTTAATCCTAACTTCTGTAACAAATCTCATTAAATGCCGGGTGAATAGATAATATTTAAGAGTATTTGAAAAAAAGATTGAAAAATAAAAAAAGTTGGGATTAATATGGATGAAAAAATGTGTAATTTTATGAGACAATTTTTTTTTTCAAATATTTTTGAATGTTATTTAATAATTGTGAGATCCATATATTACATGGATCAATTTAAAAAAGAAAAGTTAAATATAAAAGTCAAAATATTTAAAAATTTTGAATTTATAAGAAAATAATAAGAATAATGAATTATTATAATCAAAATGTTTTTTATATTTTAAACTTAAATAAATAATTTAAATAATAATAATAAACTAATAAGTTTTAATCTAAGAATTTTGAAATTAAAAGGTAAGTTCGTTAATAAAATTGATATCAATTTATTACTACATTTATTTAATTATTACATTAAATATTATGTGGAATTTAATAAAACAGAAAAACTCATAAAAAAAAATTAATTCAAAATAACCAGAAAATAACATCTGACAAATTGAATGATAGTATAACATGTGACAAAAGAAACATTCATTTATTAGAGTAGATTCATATGATACTTAGTGAGATTTGTTACAGCTGGCAAAACATGTGTTTGGGGCTTCAAAAGTAGCTGCCACATCTAGTACAACAAAACTCGAATTGCTTGAAAGTTTAGGCGCTGATATAGCCATCGATTACACCAAAGAAAACTTCGAAGAACTACCAGATAAATATGATGTTGTCTATGATGCAATAGGTATTAATCACTGTTCATATGATTTATCCTCATATTATGTGTGTATGTGGCCCCCACAACGTTCTTATCGACATCTAGCATCTGTATACCTTATTTACATCTCAGAAGATGTACAAAGTACAGATACAGTGTGGGCCAGAGGTTACCAGAAAAAATGTGTATTCAGTTCGTACTGACGCCTCCTGACATTTGTATATTTTATTTACATCTCACAAGATGTATCAAGTACAGATGTTGTGGGTCTGAAATTACCAGAAAAAATGTGTATTCAGCTCGTACAGTGACATCTGTATATTTTATGTACATCTCACAAGATGTACCAAATACAAATGCAGTGTGGGCCCGAAGTTATCAGAAAAAATGTGTATTCAGCTCGTACTGACGTCGTCTGACGTCTATATATTTTATTTACATCTCACATGATGTTCTAAGGACAGATGCAGTGTGTGTAGGTCCAGGGTTACTGAAAAAATAGCTTTTTTTGCGGATAAAAATCATGAATGTACGTTTATTTTTCACGAATGGTGATGGTATGATATTGTAGGACAAGTGGAGAAAGCTGTGAAGGTTGTGAAGGAAGGTGGTAGTGTAGTGTCCATAGTGTCCATAACAACTTCTATTCCACCACCGGGATTTAGCTTTGTGCTCACGTCTAATGGATCCATTTTAACAAAACTAAGCCCTTATTTAGAAAGTGGAAAAGTGAAACCGATTCTTGACCCTAAAACACCATTTTCGTTTGAAAATGTTAAGGAGGCTTACACTTATCTTGAGAGCCATCGTGCCATGGGAAAGATAGTTATATACCCGATGCCATGAGTCTAATTAGTATATATTTTTGTGTTATATAATATCAATAAATAGTGTGGGTTACTTGGTGCTTGTGTTAAGAGTGGAAATAGATAGCGTGATTGTGTTAATAGTGGAAATAAATCATGAATGTATTAATTTTTCATTGAAGGCGTTAAGGACTATCAAAAGGGTGAAATGAGACAAACAAATTGAGTAATGTAAAAATTACATTGTATTCAAGTTTATGTTGGTTTTATGTTTGGACTTGATTATGTTGAATTAATAGTGAAACGAAAGACATTTGGTCGACACAAAGTAGAGTTTAATCTTGGTTTAAAAACTGCCAAATGGGAGTGTTGAGGATTGTTAAATTGACTTGTTGATTTTAGGGTTTTTGTGGATGTCGAATTGGTTGAGTCATGTATGTTGAATTAAAGTTGAAGGGACTAATGGGATTGATTCAACTAATGTAATTATATTTTTTGATAAAGTAAAAACTTATACTAGGGTATAATAAGCTCGTTACATGAAATCAAATAACTTTGAGAAAACTGGGGAAATGGTTAGTATGGTTTATTAGTATTTTCTTTAGATCGGGTCCAAAATATCTTGTTTTTGCAAGAAAAAAGAACATACTTTTGATATATATATATATATATATATATATATATATATATATATATATATATATATATATATATATATATATATATATATATATATAGGGTTAGGTTCATTTAATACCACCTATATTTTGTGAGACCGTGAGACGCATTTTTTTATTTATTTTTATTTATTTTTATTTTTTTTAGTTAATTCATGTTCCGAAAATAATATTTAAAAATAGAATTTTTTTGATTTTTTCATTTATTTTGCATTTTAAATTTATTTTTAGAATATGTACAGTGTAACATTCTATTTAGAATATTTCACGTATTTTTCAAAAAAAATAGAATTTTTTTTATTTTTTTTTTATTTTTTATAGTTAATTCAAGTTCCGAAAATAATATTTAAAAAAAGAATTTTTAGATTTTTCCATTTATTTTGCATTTTAAAATTATTTTTTAGAATATGTCAGTGAAATATTCTATTTAGAATATTTCACGTATTTTTCAAAAAAAAAACGAAATTTTTTTTATTTTTTTTAATATTTTTTTTATATATTTTTATATTTTTTTTAGTTAATTCAAGTTCCGAAAATAATATTTAAAAAAAGAATTTTTGGATTTTTCCATTTATTTTGCATTTTAAAATTATTTTTAGATTTGGTCTCACGGTCTCACAAAATTAGAATGGTTTCAAATTAACCTGAACCTATATATCTTTACTACTTATAAAAGAAATCTAACTATTTCTATAAATAGATTAAATATAATAATATTATTTTTTTAAGACGTCCAAACTATTAAGCTTGAAGTACAACCTATTTATAATATAATAATATTAAAACTTTAACCTTATCATTTATCCCCTAAAAATCTCGTATCAAATTAATAGAAGAATTCATTTGCAAATTGAACCCGTCAATCTCAACACTTCAGCCATTTGAAGCGTTCAATGTCAACAATTTATAGAGGATCTCTTCTCTCACATTGGTAACAAGCCATCTCATAATATCTATCTTCGTAATCTCTTCAAAGTAAGAAATATACGCACACTCTCTCGAAGAACCTAACCAGTAACCAAGATAGTATCACCACCACCACCACAGCCACTCTGTCTCCTTTCGCTTTCAACTAACTACTATCACGACTACAGCCCTTCCTCTCACCCACGACATGAACTTTCTTTTGGAACATAACATTTTTCTTAAAAAAATATCGTTGAAAGAAGCTATCTGTCCCCGCCGCTGTGCGCGGGTAACGGCTTATATATATATATATATATATATATATATATATATATATATATATATATATATATATATATATATATATTATATATATATATATATATATATATATATATATATATATATATATTTCTTTTTGTTATTCCATGCAAGTTCCTTTTATATAACGACATTTTTGAATTTTTTTCTCTCCTAATATGTTAATAATTAATTTTCTTTTATATTTGAAAATCATCAGTTTCTTCATCATTAATAACGTCTTTTTTCTTCTTCTTCATCCAAACTCTCATCTATTAAAGTGATGCGTGTGATGGTTTTGTAATGTAAATGTTGCATTCGAATATGTTGGGCCTACAACTCAGGTTTTTCAGTTTTTGCTTCAATCTCAACTACCATATCAACTCGCAACGGCAACACTACCTCAAAATAAGACCTTAAGGTGTGGCAATTACATGCAACATCATTTTGGTGTCACATCACATGATACATTATCAATGGTGTTATAACACTAAGTGAGGAAATGAGTAACATGTTATATCTTGTTATGATACCAACTTTTTTTTTATTTTATAATTTATTTTTTATTTATTTCGATTTTTTATTAAATTGAGACAAATATTTTTAAATTAAAAAATAAATAAAACATAATGTTTAAAAAGTATAAAAAACAATTAAAACTTTCTAAAAATTAAAATTAACACAAAGACTAAATTACACATAATATCCAAAAACAAACAAAAATAAATAATAAATAACATCCAAACTAAAAAAAATAAAAATAAAAATACAATGCTATTCGTTATCGTTATTGTTACCATAGAAGATATAATCCGCCAAGTCCTCTCGAAGTTGTCTGTGTTTATTTGCGCCCTGAATGTCAACAACGCGATGCAAATAATCTGTTGTTTCTAGTTGAAACTAAACGTGTCTGGGCTACGTTGGAATATAATGTGCAATATTTCGCTCTTTATCTTCTACTACCATGTTATGCATTATGATATATGCATACATGATATATCGTAAAGTTTATAAATCCAATGGTCGTGCTGCATGTTCGACTATATGCCACTTCGCCTTCAGCACTCCAAAAGCACATTCCACATCCTTACGTGCTCCTTCTTTTCTTCTCTTAAAAATTTTGTCTCGTTCTTCAACCGGGTGGCGGAATGCCTTCATGAATGTGGAATACTGAGGATATATTCCATCTATAAGGTAATACCCATATTTGTATTCGTTTCCATTCACCGTGAAAGGAGCATCCAGGGCTTTTCCATTCAAAAGATCGTCGAATATTGACGACTGATCAAAAACGTTGATGTTGTTGTTGGAACCCGCAACCCCAAAATATGCATTCCAAATCCATAAATCTTGAGAAGCGACAGCCTCTAACACCAAAGAAGGTGATGCGTGATGACCACTTGCGTATTACCCTTTCCATGCTACCGGATAATTTTTCCATTTCCAGTGTGTGCAATCAATGTTTCCGATCATTCCGGGAAACCCATGGCGTTCTTCATACGCCGCATACAATTCTTGCAAATCATGCAACGAAGGTTTCCGCAAATACACGTCACCAAAAGTTACAACAACACCCCTTGACAATGTATACAAACTCTCTCTTGCGGTTCTTTCGGACATTCTCATATAGTCGTCAATGGTATCGGGTGACTCCCCCATAGCCATCAAACGAATGGCCGCAGCACATTTCTGCAACGTTGTAAACCCTCGTCTACCTCTAGCATCATATCTTAATTGAAAAAATTCGTACCTAAACATAAATTAACTACAGTTTAAAAATATATTGCATATGTTGTAAAATTAAAGAAACATGTAGTACATTTTTATTTATTTTGTATAAAAATATAGTAAAGAAATGATACCGGCTTTCCAAGGCGTTGGCGATTCGTAAGAACACATCCCTACTCAAACGAAATCTTCTTTGAAGTCCTTCGCCCCGTATACACAATTATCCGCAAAGTAATCGTGATATAGATGTTCGTGTCCTTCCTCGCGATTTCTGTTTAACATCACACGTCTTGTTAGTAGCGGGGCTGGGTCTGGTTGTAGTAGGTCGGTAGTGTAATAATGATACATCATCCTAAAGAAAATATCGTCATTTGAATCATCGGACGAGTCGAAAGGATCCATATTTTTTTTTGAAGATAATTGAAAGTATGTAGAGAGGAGAAGAGAAAGTGTGAAATTTTTAAAATAAAATAGGAGGTATTTATAGGATAATAAATTGTTTTTTTTAATAATTAATATTTTTTTTAACCGTTGCAAAATCCATCCGTTTCTTCCCATCGCCACGCCAACGAGATGCGCCTTCGACGAGTTGCAACGAGCAGGGGGGGGGGGGGTGGTGTTTCCCCCGTTACGCAGCTGTTGTGGAATGCCAAGTCAGCCGCGTTGCTTCTCGTTGGTCCCATACCGAACACTCTAATAGTTTTGTAACGTCTCTTGAATACTTTGTTAGAACTCTTTCAACTAACCAACAAAAAGTCCAACAAGTGAGGAAATTAAATCTTAAAAGAATAGGGAAACAAATTATGCAACTGGATAGTAAGAGTCGGTCCAAATGTATATGGGGCCCGGAGCAAAAAGAAAAAAAGAGTCCCTTAAAGACGAATATAATAAAGATTCAAAAAAAATATCATTTATTATTCATTATAGACTTGTTCAATTAACAATAACAAGCAAACAAAATTGATTATCTTTTGTTTTGAGCTAGTTTGAGTTTGAACAAATTTTATAATCTAAAAATCATTTAGGCAATAAGTTTTATATATATATATATATATATATATATATATATATATATATATATATATATATATATATATATATATATATATATATATTACATAGCTTAGAATTTTTGGGCCCCTAGAGACGTGGGCCCTAGGCGGTCGCCCAGGTTGCCCACTGTCTGGACCGGCCCTTACTTGAGTCGAAAGGTAAGTTACTTTCTTAAACCAATACAAATAAAACAATGAAAAGGGTTGAGAAAGATAAGCAAGGAGTCAAACCATCGCTATAACTAAAAGAGTTTCATGCAAAATGCATACATCCGGCCATCATTTCCACCACGATACACAAGTCCAATAAAGAGAAAGAAGAGCAAGAAATCATGGAAATTTGTCAAGTGTTTGAGGCAGATATTTCACTTTTAGATGTTGGTAAGTAATTTTTCCCCGTTATGCAAAATTCTTAAAAGAGATTTATACAACAAAAAAGAAGTGAATGAGAGTGTGAGTGAGTGTTATTGAAAATATTTTAACAATTTTACGAAAAAAATACCCCCAACCATGCCATGTTAGATTTAAGAGAACCAATTAAAATTTACTATATTTAATGTACAAATCTTTGAATTTTGGGCTATTGAAACAAACGGAAATGCTAATACAACTTGTGGATATGCCTATTGTCTAACCGAAAGGTGTAT